CTGGGTGGACTCGCAGCAGAAGCGGGTAAGGGCGCGGCGGGACGGGACGGGACCCCTGCTTTGTGGGCGCTTGCTTGACCTCTGTGTCCCCCAACCCCCTTTGCAGTATGTTCCGGTGAAGGGCGACCACGTAATAGGAATCGTGACGGCCAAAGCGGGAGACGTGTTTAAACTGGACGTCGGTGGGAGCGAGCAGGCGTCTCTGTCCTACTTGGCCTTTGAAGGCGCCACGAAGAGGAACAGGCCCAATGTGCAGGTAATGCGCTTGTGTATTGGAGGTAACGCTTTAGCCATGTCCCTTGGTGGTGCTTCCATTACCTTTTAGTAGTTTTTCTTAGTAAAAGGTATTTTTAGAAGGCCGCACGTAAGAGGAAGAGTGCAGGTATGTTTGCAGTGGTTTCACTGTTGCCCTCCTTGGAGGCTTTTGCACAGTTAGGCTGTGGGCTTTCTGAGGTTTCTTAACGTGTAACTAGTGCGGTTTGGTATCTGTCAGATGGCAGACTTTTTCATTCCTTGCATTTTGACTTTCCCATAGTACTGCCAGCAGTAGATGCAGTTGATGAGTGATGTGCATCCAGAGAGGCACTGTGAAGTTAAGGTTTTAAAACAAGGCTTCACAGCATTTGATACTGGTAGAAAATGTTTTTTTAATAAGATTGTGTGGCACATGCATGCCACGGGTCCTGCAGTCAATTGAAATACCATCTTAATGTAAAAATGGACTGTGAAACAAAATAGGTTAGTGTGATTTTATTATTATGTTGTTGTTGTCCTGATAAATTATTACAAGAACAGGTTATTTAGACTTTTAATACCCTTAAAGTCTAAAGAAAGAGGAATTCATGTTTAGTGTTTAAAAAAGAAAAGAAGAATACTCCATGAAATGAAATTCTGTACTTTTTTCATATCTTTCACATTCTAGTAGGAATGCAAAATAATTGTTCCTAGAAGATGTTGCCTTTAGTAGAAGAAAAAAACTTTAAAATTCCTGTTATAGTAGTTCATTTTTCTATCACCAGTATTTTAAAACTATTTTGTGGCCTTGTGAGAGTGTCTTTATCAACTGAGTATTTCTTACAAATGTGCAGAATGATCTTTACTACTTTTGCCTTTTGACACTGCTTTGTTTAGGTGGGAGATCTTATTTATGGTCAGTTCCTTGTAGCAAATAAAGACATGGAACCAGAGATGGTCTGTATAGATAGCAGTGGAAGATCAAGTGGAATGGGAATAATTGGACAAGATGGCTTCCTCTTTAAAGTTTCCTTAGGTCTAATAAGAAAGTAAGTACCAAGAAAAGTAAGTAGTTATACTAACATGTAATATGGTGGGTAGTATTTGTGTAAGTGTTTTCTCTGAGCAGCATAGACAATTTGTTAATCAGAGCGTGTAATTGTTTTAGTGCATTTTTACCACTTTTACTTAATAGAGTATGGATTTTGACATAGAAGGAGCATTTTCCCCCGTAAGAGGTTTAGATGCTCTTCTATATGGTGTTCTGTGACCTGTTTAAAAAAAGTGATGTGGTGGCCAAGGCAGTATGGAAAATAAAACTGTTGACCTGGGGAAGTCAAACATTCAAGCTGGGGTTTCAGGTATGTAACTAGTTACCTTGGAATTTAAAATTTAGAAATGCTTACTGTCTTTTTTTCTCCTTAATGGAATAGTGGGGGATGTAAATTTGGCTGACAGCTGATTAAAGTGGTCTTTCTACATCAATACACGTTACTTTCTGACTTCCAGAGGAAAATAAATTGCAGTGGAAATAAGGATACAGATAAAACAATTGTGGAATTTTCATTTAAAACTGACATGTTAATCCAGGAACTGTTTCATAAGCTTTTAAATATACTGTGAACTTTGGAGTTACTTATGTGGATGTAAATACAAGACTTTTGTGACTATCAAAGAATACTGAATTATTGGGCTAAATGATAGTCAAGCTTTGTTACTTTTGGGTGGATTTTTTTTTTGTTTGTTTGGGGGTTTTTTATTGTTTTTTTTGGAAAAGCAATCTGGAGATGCAGTGCAGCTATTTCATACCTGGATTTTTAAGTAATGATTTGTCTGGTTTACATGTCCCATCAGAAGTCAGTGTGAACTGATGCAAATATTTTTGCAGTCAGTTTGTTTTCCAAATACTGTCTGTGTGCAAGTAAAGAAATAATGATATATTACAAGTAAACTATTAAATCCTGATACGTTTGTTTCTTCTTTGAGAAAGCCTGTTGAAAGCTTGATTTATCCTAGATGGATTGCAATATTCTTGATGCTTTTATTTCTCAGTATGCTGTCACATAATAAAAAGAAAATATTATGTTTACTGCTGTTAATATTGTCTCCTGAAGGGAACTAATGTTTTGAAAGACACATCTTTAACTCTCGTGTCAAATTTATAAATAGCAAGACTTAAAAAATGTCACTTTGTCAAACAGTGTAGTTCTAGAATTTATTGAATTAGAGAATTATTATAAAAGTATAAATTCACTGTAAATTTGTCAGATATTACTTCTGAATCTAATTAGAAAAAGATGGCAATTCACAAGTTGTCCTATTTTTTTTAGGTGCATATATTTTATGTGAGAGGGTAATTAAAAATATGATACTGCATTGTTATTTTGAATGCATATGCAATTTGATCATCTTACCTTTCGGTGTTGTTTTAATAGTTCCCATAACACTAGTACTTCAGTTTAGTTATTGATTGATAATAATGCAGTATCTCTCAAATGTGAGCACTTACTTCTCCCTCTGACTCTTTTTAATCTTGTTTACAGACTCTTGGCTCCCAAATGTGAAATAATTCAGGAGCTCTCACAACTTTACCCGTTTGAGCTGGTGCTGGGAATGAATGGAAGAATATGGGTAAAAGCAAAAACAGTTCAACAGACTTTAATTATAGTAAATATTTTGGAAGCCTCTGAGTATATGACTGCAGTACAGAGAAAACAAGCGCTTGCCAAATTGTCTGGGAATTGATAAGAGAAAATATTGAGGATTTGTCTGCAATGACTGTAGGGTGTTTTGGTTATTTTTGTATTCAGATTTATATTAAAAGCCATTTTTAAAATTAAGTACAAGACTTTTGTTATTCTTCAGTTTGTCTTGTTTAGGAACTTTGTTTTTACTTACTTTTGTGATTATGACACCCTGTTTATGAATTTTCTGACTGATGTGGAGACGGTCCCTAAAAGCTTCTATTAGCTCTGAGTTTTGAGGTCTGACTACTTAAGTCTTGTGTAAGAGAACTGCTCGATTTGTAAACTGCATGTATTTCTTTTTTTAGCCTTCATTAATATTAAAACTTCAAACGATACATGTTTACTTGGGGTAGCGGAAAGTATACTGCAGGTCAGGTGCTCTATTTATACTGTTACGAGAGGTTATTATTTAATGTTTCACAAAATTTCAGAATAGAAACGCAGGTGGAGAATACCATAAAATAATTACAGGGCTTAGCATAAAATAATCAAAGGGTGATTAAGGGAAATGATCAGACAAGATCCAACATATAGCCACAGTGACCTTAATACTTTCCCTAAAAGATAACTTGCCTAGTAGTATTAAGGAAGTGATTAACGCATAACTTTGGTATGAACATTCAGGAGGCTTGATGGTGCGTGGAGGTAAAGAATAAACTTACAGCAATGTTAAGTGCTTTTTGACTAGAGATTAGGTAGAGTGCTGCACCAGTAGCCATGTGTTTCTCAATTTTAGACATTTTACATTTAGTTTCTTTAGTTACAGCATGAAGATTCCCTATAGCTTTGCTTCATGTTTAACAAAATCAGCATTTGTGAAAAAAGCTATATTAGGCTTCATTGTGTATTGGTTCTTCACATGCATATAGAGGAAATGCTGTCCTGGGAAGGATAAGCTGTCAGTCTATTTTTATATGTGGATAGTTTACCACTGTTCTTTTGAGAGAGAAAAAGAACCCTGGAGTAGTGGAAGGGGAATTACTGATAACTGCTTCCTGTGGGAGAAAAGTTTGACTGTATGTACCGAGTGAATTACTTTGCAGCTGTTTAAGTAGGAGAGAGTCCAGCGCAGAGCCACCAAGATGATTAAGGGAGTGGAGCATCTCCCTTATGAGGAAAGGCTGAGGGAGCTGGGTCTCTTTAGCTTGGAGAAGGGGAGACTGAGGGCGACCTCATTCGTGTTTATAAATATATAAAGGGTGAGTGTCACGAGGATGGAGCCAGGCTCTTCTCGGTGACAACCAATGGTAGGACAAGGGGCAATGGGTGTAAGCTGGAACACAGGAGGTTCTGCTTAAACTTGAGAAGAAACTTCTTTACGGTGAGGGTGCCAGAGCACTGGAACAGGCTGCCCAGGGAGGTTGTGGAGTCTCCTTCTCTGGAGACATTCAAAACCTGCCTGGACGCCTTCCTGTGTGATCTTGTTTAGGTTCCTGCTCCGGTAGGGGGATTGGACTAGATGATCTTTCAAGGTCCCTTCCAATCCCTAACATTCTGTGATTCTGTGTGATGTTTTGTGGTGCTAAATAAGCTGAACAGTTTCATAGCAATAATTAAAAGAAATTAGAAAAAATTGACTAATTAGAGTAAGCCTGGATACCATCTTATTCCAAGTGGAAACAAAATTCTTCCTGTTTATTCTGTATTTCATCCAAAGTCCAGCCTGTGGTATTTGATGATATGGTTTTCTTTGGCATCTCTCTCATTTAGGAATTGTTTCAATTCAGAGCCCCTCCTCTGACTCATCTTTAATATGCTTACCTAGGGCTTCCCCTGTTTCAGTAAAAACACAACTCTAATGGGTTCCATGTGATTCTAATGTCTACAATTTCAGAAGTCTTTCTGGGTTTCACTGGCCTCTTTATTTAGCATTTAGGGTTTTGCTTATCTGGTTTGGTAGATCTTTAGTCATCTTTTTTCACCTGTCTTCTCCTAGCTGAAGTGTCTCTCATTCACATCCCATAAATCATTTAGGCCTATAAGCTGTCTCTTCCTACACATGAAAAGCTGTAATTTAATAAGGATTTCACTAACTCTGCTCTTCTCCAGTGTTTTTTCAACTTTAGCTAACCAGAGCCCCTGCAGGTTGTTTGTTACTAGAACAATAGCTGGCATAGGCAGAATGCCACTTGCCATATTATCTCAGGGTACTAGCTTTTGTTTTCTGCAAATGTTCTTGGATCGTCATAGTGAAACCACAGGAATGGGGAATGACATGGATAATTTCCTGAAGAGTTGTGGCTTGAAATGCCATTAGCCTTACCACTCCCCCTTTTACCTGTCTAAGCAACCTCCCTTCCCTCCCAAAAATCTGAGTTTTAAGCCTAACCTGCAAGATACATGAACAATCCTTTGATTTCAAAATGCTGTTTTGGTAGTGCAGCATAGCAAATGGTGACCTTGAAAGCTTTCAACATCATCAGTGCCCTATTTTACACCACCCTTTGTTCTGTCCCACTGTCAGCTGCTTATCACTCAAATATAACTTGAGTTAAATCAAGAGCAGGAAACAAAATGCATTAAAAAGATGCTTGTTGTTAATTTATCAAAATGGTATATCCACAAAGCACTTGAATTTACCCCCTACACAATCATTTTAAGTATGAACTACACTTAAGTTTGACAATTTATGCAGTGGCAAAAAGTACAGTGGACAGGAGAAAAATGGGTGTGGGGAGCAAAATGCTTGAAAGCAAATACATTTAAACTTATTAGTAAAAGGGAGAGTGTGGTGTTTTGGTTTTTTTTAACTTGGAGAAAAAACTATCTACATTCCTTAAACCAATTACTAGCTTTCACAAGCTTAATCTAATGAACAAAATACTCAGTCAAAATCTATATGATGTCTTTGTGAACTTTTAGTTCAGGCTTGGTATCACCCAAAAGAGTGACATAGAATGTAACTTGGTTCTAGGAAGAAAGACTGATCATGAGTTAATTATGCATTCTGCTGGAAATGTTCGAGGAAGTCCTTCACATTGCCATTAAACTTGAACACATATGTTTCAGGAAATGCAACTTGTAGCAATGATGCTGTGGACTTCAAATATACCTTGCTTAGTAGAATGTCTGTTGGTGTTTATCATTATGTATGCCCCTGTCAGTTTAAGTCTTTATTTAGAGATATTCATTTCAAATCCTTGGTGATTGTGCATTGAGTGCTTTGGTACATTGCTTTTCTTTCAAGTTGTTGATGAAAGTTCAGAAGAAAAGACTGTAGATGTCAACGTGGACACAGTCTTTATCCCCAGAGATGAGCACAACCCATTAAAAAGAAAGCTCACAAAGAATTAAATGGAAACCATACATTGAAAATACAAAGTGTGTAGTTTGTGGCCCTTCCTAGGTTGTGTTGTATACAGACCAAGAACAAATGCTAACAGAAAGTACAGGTATGCAGTGTTGAAACTAAGTGTGATGCTAAAATGTCTGTATTTGGCTGTCGCAGAAGAAAGTTGTACAGACAAGTAGTTCAATGTAGTAAGAGGATTAAGAGCTCAACTCTAAGGCTATGGTTAGAGTGTGGCTGTAACTCTGCTAGATAAAAAGTTTACTGTGCTCAACTCCTAATTACACCTTACCATCAGAAGTTGCAACTGAGGCTTGCTGGCATGCATACTTGATTCCTAGCCAAGTTCTGTCAAAATGACCCAAACAGACATCAACACTTTTAATAGCAGTGTTATTTTGCCTTTTTAACCTGAATATTCTGTTAGCAGAAGAGGTCATGGAATTTTTCTCTCAGATTTTAATTATTAAGAGCAGCTTATCTACTACTGGAGAAGTGTAAATTTGTTAGAGAAAGCCCAGTTGTCTTCCTTAGTGGTTGATCAAATAACAGCTCAATCAACCAGTAAATTGAGAAGCTATTTGAATCTTACAAGCTCACCTCAAGCTTTACATATTTTTATATAAAAAAATATTTACACCACTCTTTCTAGCTACATTCAGACAATTTGGTGAGATATGTTATTTGACTGAGTATAGAAGCTAGCTGTCTTATGGACAATGTAGGACACTATTTTGTATTAGTAACACAAGCAGCTTTGTCCTGACTAATGACTTGCATAGATTGCAAGCTGCATCACTACTATTGAAGGAATTAAACATGTCAAGTTTTGTCCAAACACCTTGAAAGAGAAATAGCCTAGAAACATGTTGGGTGCCTGATTTTGATAGAAACTACGAAGTAGTTGTGGGCAGTTAACCAGAGCTGTTGCAGAATGACTCTTTACCTCTGATGTCCTGATCTCGTGGAAGTGCAGTTACTGCCTTTTTGGTGCTGTCAGTATAGGTATTTTGGGATGTTCAAGAGCTTGTTTTTGCTTATAGAGCCTGAAGCTTGATCACTATTCTAGTGGCTTGAATTGTCATTAAAATAAATTTTTACTAGGCCTTGGTGTGAGAGTATGAGAAAAACTAAAAAGTTGGAATAGAGTAACAGTATAAGGTAGCACTACAGTAAACAGGACAAAGAAAAACTGTAGACCACACAGATTACTAAAGACTGAAGAACAGACAGAAGGACTAATGAGCTCATCTGCTCTTTCCAAATGCTTTGATTTTCTATTGTATTGTTGTAAGTGGTAGGCTTTTCTATGATTCAGTGTTTAGTGGGCTGTTGCCAAAAGAGATTTCTATTAGCATCTGTATATCCGTTAAAAAGACTTCCTAATTCTTTCTTCCTGCTCTTGTCCAGATGTATGGTGTTGCACCAGTCTCTGCTTGGTGTTCCACTGTGAACTGCTCATGAGGGTAAAGCTGATTTCAAAAGACCTGAAGGTCCTTTGGTTTCTTCAGTGACTACTGCACCCTGATCTTACTTAAGATAAAACTAAGATCCTGTGTCCAAGCTGTCTGTAGACAGAGTGGTGCTTTTATTTCCTGAGAATTGGGATGAGGTTGAAAACGCCACCACATGAGTACATATCTCTTTACAGCCTCCAAACAAGAGGTGGCTTTTGCCTGGTCTAGCTGAAACCTACATCAGCCTGCATCTGTGTGGATATGGGAGAAAAGTTCAAGCTGTATTTTTGTATATCTGCATCTAATATTGGCTCAATATTGAAAATCTTAGTCT